GTAACCTATAGCGCGCACACACACACACACACACACACACACACACACACACACACAATAAATAAGTTTTGCAATAAAAGCCTTTACACAACTCGCATATATCTAATATTAATTTATAAGTACGAAAAATTATTTTATATATGCATTGTACTATTTTCTTAAGATTCTTTAAGTATCACACTTTTTTAGATGTTTGAAATAAAAAACTTGTAACAGTAAACCGCAAGTATTTTGATTCGCTCTATTGAACAATCCATTATAGAGATATTTACAAGTACTGCCTATCATATATCAGATTTTTATTGAATGTAATTTTTCATATAACAACGTGTTCAATTTCCATTTGACACGTACTCGATTACAGAACATAATGAAAGTAAGTATAAAAAAAAAACGTATAAAATTTTGTGATAAAATGAATGATTATCCGTATCCTATAATGAGCTATTATATACTATTGCTGACATCTAATCGTACAATTCAATGTGTAAAGATTTAATTTGTTGATGTAAAATATAATTGTAATATAATTGTAAAAACTATATTTTTTGTGTGTGTATTTATATATCAGATACAACTGTGTGTGTTGCTACTATATATATAAAAGAAATCAGTGCACAAAAAAATTAAGTCAAATGTAATAAAATAAATTTACCTAACCGAAGAGAATAATACTACATGTTTTGGCTCATTTTTGAGTCATCTTCAAAGTCTAGGTATACGTAATATTGAATTATGCGAAGTAGTAAATTGTATAAAAATTATGATTAAAATATGCTATCAAGTTCAATGATCAGAGAACTTTCTTCATCGCAAAACCATTTGCGATGTAATTAGAAAGCTTCTGGTATTACATCATTAGCTCTACTTGTATATTTTTCCAGTATTATTATGCTCTACATTTTATTATAATTATTAAATTCAATGTTTTTCCTATTATATATAAATATATAGACATCAGTTGAATACATCGAGTTGAATATATCAGTTGAATATATCAGTTGAATTTATCACGTTTTATATATCGAGAAAAATTGTTTATAGTACAAAGAGACGTAATTCTCGAGCGATATCGATTCACTACAGAAATAAAAATGAAAAATAAGATTGACGTTATTTTCTAGCTTTTTATTAACCAAATTGATTTTGACATAAAAACTTAATAATGAAAACTAATACTATCTCCACGTCAATGCATCTTTCTTGTAAATAGAATGCTAAGAATCTTGAATTATATTCAAATTAATATGTAAAATTTTATTTCTTTAAACAATGTACTTTTACACAATCTGATTCGCCTTGTGACGAACTATTAACAAAACTATAACAGTCAAAACTGTATATGTTATTTTCGTTGACGCTATCGATTTCGTTGAATCTTTATCGGCGATATTTGCGCATCGTTTAGTTCTAACGGGCAGCAGTATAACAGGTACCGTAATCTACAGTGTAATAGCGATCGTACTCCGTGGCCCGCTCATAAAGCGCGGTCGCGATTTCTCGGCTGTTTTGTTTCCCCATGTACAGTTCGCGTAAGGACTGGTGCAATGACTTACGTTAATATGTATGAACCAGCCAGGGGATATTTCTGCTGGCGTAAACGCGGATAATGTGCCTCTATCGCTACCGCCTACGCTGCTCCGGATCCCGCGGTTTACAACCCCCCCTTTCTTGTAATCCCACTGCGGGCTTAACGTGGCGAAAATGCACGCTAAATCGCGTTTGGTACCGAAACAATGAGCAAGAAAGTACGATTGCGCAAAAGCCCGTAAAGTTCAAATAGCGTTTCTGAATATTCGCAAATAATATTCCGGCGCAAATAAGCCAGTCTAATAATGTGATATTTATCGAGATTGTGCATAATCTGTTTCTAAACATAAAATCGATATGTACTCGTATAACCTACACGATATATTGCGCGTTAAAGCGAAATTATATATGCATGTAAAACAGTTTATTTGATTTATTATTTTGTGCATTTGTTATCCGTATTTATCGACAGAAAATTCGAAATATGTATATTCAGTAATACGATTGAATATTATGCCAAAATAATTCAATTATATATACCCTCTTGTTGACAGATCTATTAAGTGGTTCACGTCCAAAACAAGTTTATTATAAAGTGTATCTATATATCACTTACATCTATATATCACTTATTATTTAATAATTGATATATAAATATAATGTTATTATAAATATGTTCTTTCGATAATTATTATCCCCTCGTTATACAGTCTGATACGAGAAAATGTTTGATGCATCAAATCGATATATCTTGGTAACTTTCATGAGAGCTCCATCAAAGTTACGATTCGGTAAGAGGAAAATCATGCCTCTAGCCTATATTCAGAAAGTACGTCTATCCACGTACATTGTTATGCATCGAGGTCGATGTTGAAATCTACCGATAAGCTCCACTGTCATCCCTGTATATTCACTCTATGCGTTCTCATTATATCTCGATTATACCCTATCTTTTTTCTCGGCGAATGCATACACAGCGTATATCGACAAAATTTTTGTTAACGATATTCTTTACAATAGACAGAATAATTTTAATTTCTTACGATATAACAAACATATTTTAATATTTTTATATAAAAATTCATTTTTACGTAAAAATGAAAATAAGAGGTACCACCTCCAATGACTTTGATTTTGACAAATGTTATCCAAGACATGATCCTGAACAACATTCAAGAGGTTTCAGCCGTCGGTCGGACACCTTACTTAGTGCTAATGCCGATGGTATTGTAACTTTCGAGCCTTACAACTCGAAAAGTACTCAATGAAAAATAACTTTATTATAATATTTTGAAAAACTCTCGACATCGGTTATTATAGATACTGGAATAAAAAGTTGGGTGTTCCATTAAAAAAAATCGTGATCTTGATCTGACCTTGGCGACGCTTATAATCAAACTGATAAGATCGGTAAATAGATTTTTTAAACCCTTATAACTTTTGTCTGAACACTTTTACGATTGGACCTTATCCTGCGAAGATAAAAGGGATGTACGGATGGTCTGAAACATCCGGTATATGTACTTACACACATACTACTATATACACATATTACTATATTTATAGTAATATTTTTCGCAATAAATTTATTTACAGTTTTTTAGCATATTAACATATTTTTAATAAGATGCCTGATTGAGCATCAAATTATTAAAATTGCTTGTCAATTTAATTCGTGATATTATTGCAGTAATTTAATCGCATTTATAAGTCCGGAAAACCAATTCGATGCGCAGTTCGAACGATTATAAATATGATATATATGTAAGTACATTTTTATACAATATATAATACATAGTAATTCTGATTGAATTATTTATAAGCATTAAAGATCTAGCTTTGACAATTACGGCCATTACTTCTATTTCTTATTGTTGAATTTTTAATAAAAATACAAAAATCTTTATCGCATATTTTAAAACTGAACTTCATAACACGATCAAAACTTCATGCAATTAATAATAATCACTGCACTTGTTATACTTACTTAGGACAAATGTATACAAATGTTCTGCGAAATCAGATAAAATAAAATATCGGCGGGGTGTACTGGCGTATATCGTACTGCTTCTCTCGAAACACGTGGAATACGATTCTCAGTATATCATACCGCGTTTATAAAGAGGCTCATAACACTGATATATTTAAAGCGACACTTAAGATTCGATCATTATATTACACAGTGGAAGGAGAAATAGCTGCAGGTCTTAATTCACGAGGCAGTATTTTGTTGCAAGTACATGTTTTGTGCGTCCATCAACCGGAACCTTTCGCTATTCCCCGATTTCTAATTCTCTCTCTTAATTTTTAGAAATGTCTGGCTATTTGTAACGTAGATATATAATGATGTCAACATATCACATTTATCTTAGACAATGACAATGCAATATATCATAACATATAGTAAAATATAAAAATAATAAAAGGCAAAGTGCGTTTAACTCACACGTTTTGAATCTTTTTGCGCAAGATTTCTATTCGCGAATTTGTTAAATTAAACTCATAAACGTTTATTTCAATCACAGTCTGGTCATCATCAGTATGTACATAGTCAAATATACCTATAATAATTAACATTTAGATCTTTCCATTATCAGTCGAGTGCAATTATAAAATTTCCAACTTGCAATGACGTTAAATGATCTTGACGATTTTAGCATAGAAAATGGAATTCCTGTGTTATACACATAGTCATATTTAAAATTTAAAAAAAAATGGAAACTAGGCGTCTACATAGCGCAATCGTTGGATTGAGGAATCAATTAAACTAAGATTTACATGAAGGAATCAAGAAGCATGTAATGTGTATGCGTAAAATTATTAATTACATAATATATGGACAAATCTTCATCGAGTCAAATGTATAATTTTATGAATTAATTGTTTTAATTATTATATGTATAGTTGACTGTACATATTAATGACGATTTAGATTGTGATCGGAACGTTTATGAGTTTAATTTAACGAATTCAAATAGAAATCTTGTGCAAGAAAGACCGAGCGTGTGGCTTAAATGCTCTTTGTCTTTTGTTTTTGTTTATAAGGCTTACCATTATTTCTCTTTTTTCTAATAAAATATACAATCCTATAGAAAGGTTATTAGATATATATTTCCAAATTATAGTAATAATGGAATTTTATTTTACTGTTTCTGAAGAAAAAAATTTAATTTTATTCTCGAATCATTATATAATTTCATAAGCAATTCTTCAAGCAATTCTTGTTAAGATACAGTATGATCAAAACATTAATCACTATTAGGAAATAAGAAATAGTGTAACAGAATATTAGTAGATTTGAAATATTGAATTTAAAACATTTACACTATTACATAATTTTTTTACAATAATAATATTTCACATTTTCAAAGATTTAAAAAACTTTTAATTTGTTACATTTTTACATTTATAATATATTTTTATATTTTAACAATTATTTGAATAACTGCAGTTATTTTTCATATTGCTAGCTATGTTATATGCTTCTATAATTATATTTTATATATTTATATAGTGTATCTATTTTGTTATATATTATAGAACGGATGTGATTGTTTGGTAGAGCAGTTCATCTGAGAAGAGAGATCTTAAAGCACCTTTCGCTTTCAAGCATAATTAAACTTTCACAGTTAGAAGCATTATCTGGAGATATTTAAGACATGAAATTTCCACTCTTATTTCATTACACTGTATCATTAATCCAGATTAGCCATTGTCATTCGAATAAACTGAAGAGAATTCTAATGCATCTTTTTTAATAAAAAAAAGATTAACAAACAAAGCACAAAAAGGAAATAAAAAAATGTAATATTAAATAAAAATCAAATTACGAATTCATGTTAAATTTCAATCCCAAAAATACTAAAAATAGAATGATTCATATCAGTTTTACCAACAATCTAAACTAGCACAATCTAAACTCCACTAGCCATTAACTTGTAAATGACGGGTTTCCATGGTTCGTGTGAACTTTAGGTATACGCTGTAAAAGAATTGAAAAGGACAGGTTGTCCAATAACAATAACAGAATGAAACGTCGAAACAATTGGTGAAACAAGTCAGATGTGGTTGCAATTGACAGCACAATGGATACGTTTGCAGACTCAAGAAAAGAGACGATGAAGAAGGAGAAATTCTCTTTCCTCTTTCCGTGATACCGATTGTCGCCGTGTTTCTTCCGCGTTTCGATTTGCTCAACGCGGAGAACGTTTTCTTGAAAGCTCTTTCTCCATTCTCCTTTATCGCATATCCTTTCGTTTTCGTTATCGCAACAATATCTGCCTTGACATCTATAGAACAAAAATTCTGTATTTTTCTTATGTATCTTTATTATACATATTATACATTATTCATTCATTGTCTCACGATTTAATCAATAAAATTAGAAATTATGGTACCTGAGCCGAATAATGCTCAGCATTAAATAAGATCCATCTTTTAATTTATTACTTTAAAACTCGCTTTAAACCTGCAATATATGCTTAAAAGATGTGTCATAGGAAGTAGATAAAAAGGGATTAAAGAATTGCAATCAGTAGCAACACGTTTGTTGAATACAATAAAAACTTGTGTGTATATTTTTACAATCCGCTGCAAAATTTACCAGTATACAATGTTTCATAATTTATTATAATTCATTATAATATTATTC